CCCAGTCCTGTGGCCTCCACCCTCCCGCTGGTGGCCAGCCTGGGGGTGGGCGTGGCTGCAGCCCTGCTGGGTGCGTGTCTCCCCCACCCCGAGCTCTGGAACATTCCGGAACCCAGCATCCTGGCCCCGTGGGTGAGCTCTGTCACTGCCCCAGAACCCCCTGGGCACCGTGACCCAGGCACACCCGGCCCGAGAGGTCCCTGGGTCACCGTGGGAATGACGGCCTGCAGGGGCCCTGCCACAGACTCCGCCAGTCCCTGGGGTCAGAGAGGGAGGGACCTCGCCCTGTGGGCGGGAAGGCCCAGGAGGACCCTGTGCCCTTCTGCTCCCAGAATACTGTGCAGCCCTGGGGGCAGGGCAGGGCTGGGCCACCAGTGGCTTCCTGGAGGAGGTGACCCAGCAGAGCCCTGAGGCTGAGCCCTGCAGGGAGGACGGGTGTCCCAGCAGCAGGCTCCGCTTGTGCAAAGGCCCTGAGGTGCTCCGTGGGCCTGAGAGGTGCCCCTGGGCCCCACGTCCCCAGGGAGGGGAAGGACAGAGCCATGCTGGCCTGCCCGAGCCCCGGCCCCTTCTCAGGCCATTCCTTGTTTCTGTCCCCCGGAGGTGGGGACACTTGAGCCTCTGCCGACAAGGCACATCCTGGTCTCTGCAGCCCTCAGGGCGTCAGCACCCCATCCATGAGGCCAGGGTGACCCTGGGTGACGGGGCCACTCCACCTGCACAGCTGCCTGGCCCTGGCCGATGGCCAGCCAGAGGTGGATAAGGCGTCTCTTGGGAAGGCGGCCGCCCGGCGGAGCCCGACACCTCGCTGATCGACGGCCAGAGGACTGGGATGAGCCGCTCTGCCCGCCCCTTCCAGACCGCACAGCGGGCACCTCCCTGCCACGCGCACCCCCATCCCCACCCGTGTGACCAGGGGTCGCCTGGGTCCTCCTCCCCATCCTGTCCTCCCTGCAGCCACCAGAGGGCGCCGTGGGCACCCGGGTCAGGCCCCGCCTCCTCTGGGCCCCTCCTGGGCTCCTGCTGGCCCTCCAACATGCAGCTCATCCTGCCCCTGGGCCTTTGCACAGGCTGCGGGGGGACATGAGATCCAGGAAGGGGCAGAGTGGGTCAGGGCTGGCCGCGGTCATCCCCAGCACGGTGCTCGGCACGCGGTGGCTCTCAGTGGAGATTCCTTCCCGGGACAGTTTTGGTGAGACCTGAGCAGACAGCTGCCTTCCTGCTCCGGCCGGGAGCCCTCGGCCGCGGACGGTGATAGAGACGTTCGGGGGACTCCGGGTTTCGGCGCCTCCCCGCCTTTAATTATTTTGTGACAAGGCTCACAATTCAGCGAGTCAAGGTGGCATTTGAGAGGGACGGTTCCCTTTAGCGTAGCTGACAGCTAATTTGTGGGAAGTTTAATTACAGGCGGCGTTAATTAACTGGCAGAGCGCTGGGCGCGGAAGGCAGCCATCTGTTCCCGAGAACGTCCTCCCCTCCTGGGTGGGCACGGGAGGACAGGGCTGGGGAGGAGGCGGGACGGAGGCGGGACGGAGGACCCAGCCTCCACACCAGCCCGATGCAGTCGCTGGAGATCTTCGCAGCCAGCGTCCTTGTGGCCTCCCCCAGTGACCACTGGGAACAGCCTAGCAGCCCCGCCTCTCCCTGGTTCTATCACCAGGAGCAGGGGGTGTGGGGTAGAGGAGGAGAACACCCTGTTCTTGGCCTGCACTGGAGAGGACTGGCACCCAGCAAAGCCAGTCGGGAAAAGGAACACGGACAAGATCCAGGGTGAGAGAGGCCCTAGGCCATCCCCCGCTTTGTCCACTCGCTCCTTCCTCCCCTGGTCAGTAGGGACGGTATGGACAAGGCAAGCCACCTCCGGAGATGGGCATTTTGGATCCACATCCCAGTTTTGTCCCATCTATGCTGTGTGTCCTAGGGAAAAATACCTGACCTCCCTGGGCTTCAGTTCCCTCCTCTAACAAACGGGGTTGGCCAGCTGTGGTGGTGCCTCCTTGTAATCCAGCAACTCAGGAGGCTGAGGCAGGAGGATTATGAGTTTGAGGCCAGCCTCTGCAACTCAGTGAGGCTGTCAGCAATTTAGTGAGCAGGGGCGGGAGGAACCCGCCGTCCAGGCCGCACAGCCGCGGGAGGGCGCAGGGTGTGGGCAGCCCAGGACCCGCGGTGAAGAGGGCTCAGCGGCCAGTCGGTGGCGCTCTAGGCACAGGCGCGGCGGCCACAGGCCCCTGTCAGGACTCAGCGGTCCGAAGGCCCCTGGTATCTGCTGTGCAGCTGGAACCCCGCGGGCACCGCCCACTGCTCCGCGAAGTGACTTCACACTGGCCTCTGCGGCCGAGATCCTGGTCCTCAGCCCTCGCTTCTCCTCCGGCCTCCTCTTTGCCCAAGGGCCCCTCACACTCCTGCCCTGCTGCGGCCTCCGAAGCCCCTCCTCGGGGCCTTGCACGGCCTGTTCCCTCCACCTGGATGCTGTTCCCTGCATCTCCCCACTTCTCCCCAGGGCCGAGTCCTTTCCGCACTCAGGTCTCTGCCCCATGTCACCACCTTGGGGACGCCCTCCATGATCACCTGTCTCCATCACACCCCTGTAATGCCACCCCCTCAACAGCTAATAGCAAACTCTGAGAGTCGGCCAAGGAACTCCCTTGGTCACCATGTCCCAGTGCAGCACTGAACACATAGTAGGTGCTCCTTAGTGTGGATCCAGAGCCAGTTGAGGGAAAAGTGAGGGACAGGAGGCTGGGAACCCAAGTTGGAACCCTGGCATGGCCCTGCACGCTGTGTGGCCTTCAGCGACTTACTGAACCTCTCTGTTCTTCACTTGGAGGGTGGGATTGACCTGCGTCTCCTGCGGGGTGTGCGGAGGTGTGACGAGGCAGGAGGGAACGGGAGCCAGCGCGGGGCACCCAGACCCTACAGGTGAGAGGCCACAAGGGGAGGCCCGCTCCAGGGGCGCCCAGGACCGTCGGCGGAGTAGAATGAACCGTCGCCAAGCGCAGGGCTCAGGCCTGGGGGCGCCGGAGCCGCGGCTGCCCCGGTGCCCGGGATCCGCTGCGTGGTCTCTGCTCAGCGCACCTGGCGCCCCGTGTGCCCCCTGCCTGTGGCACCTGCTGGTCCCTAGTCCCCTCCTCGGGCGCCTCCTCCGAGCCTCCGTTTTGCCACGTGCTGCTCCCCCTTCAGCAGACACGGAGGCGCGGGGACGGGGACGGGCAGGAGGGGCCTCCGCGGTGCTGGGACAGCCGCCGGGCGGGGGCGCGGGGCTGGCACGCGGCCTCTGTCAGCTGAGTCCTTGGCAGCGCGGCCTCGCGGAGGCTGGGAGAAGCTGGCACCTTCCCAGAGGCAGAAGGTCCCGGGTGGAGGCAGGGAGCTGTGCGTGCACACAGTAAGCACCTACTGGCTGCGTGCCCGGCCGCGCAGGACCTGGGGGTGCCGCTGCGGGCATCCGGGTCGTTTCTGTATCGCGGCCCGGGGGGCCTCGCCTCCTGTCCCCGAGGCCGGGTCTGGAGGGCTCGGTCCTCACTCTTCCCCACCGGCTCTGGGCAGCTGTGTCCAGCCAGGCTGGGGGGTCCCTCGGGCCCAGACTGTGCCCAGTGCCCTCAGGGATCCACCCGGGCGTCTGGCCTCAGTTCCCAGGTGGGAGGCCAAGACCACACGGGTTGAGCACGCAGTGGGCCTCCTGGCCGGCGCACAGTAGGGCCTCAGTGAGGGCTAATTTCCAGGCGCCTGGGCTCCCCCCACCTGCCTGGAGGAGGCCCAAGCTGCGCGTGGGGAGGCACTCACTCCCAGGAGGTGCCCTTGGGTCTCCGGGGCAGTTGATCACTCGGCACCATCACTGTCCCTGCCGCCCACCTCCGGGCCCAGGCAGTGTGGCCACGGCGCAGTGTGGGGTTTCTGGAGAGCATCCTTAAAGGGAGAATCAGGTCCTTCCTCATTGCCTGGAATGCACATGTGATAGCTGGGGCTGAAGCAGCTGCATGACCCCAGGAGGAGGAGCCCACTTGCTGAGGATTTTGGACAAAAGGACGTAAAGAGTCCAGTTCCAGGTGGCCCGGAGCCTGCGAGCCACCTACAGGCCTGCTCACGGCAGAAAGAGCCCTGGGTGCTGTGCGGCTGGGTCGGGTGCTGGAACCCACCCACGCCTGGCTGTTCCATTCGTCCCTCGCTGCTTCTGTCCCGTGTCCCCCCACCTCGGGCCTGGAGCTGTCCTTGCTTGGTAGCCCTGGCCACCAAGGGCCGTCCCCAGTGGCCAAGGCAGCGAGCCCTGGGAACGGCCTTCCTAGTGGCACTGGACAGGCTGCTGTGAGGTGCTGGGGAGCTGGATGGCGGTCCCCAGCATGCAGCCGTGGCCTGTGACCACCTCTGTGTCCCTGCCGCACGGGCCAGAGCATGACCAGGGAGAGCCAGGGACACTTACAGGGGACAAGCCACCGTGTTGGCTTCATGCAGCGGGGACAGGCCCCAGGGGACGCCGTGGTGGCCCTGGGGTGCTGGGCGCTCCCGTGGTCAGGGCTGGGAGGCCTCCCGTGGCCTCCTACCTTCCGCTGCCACCCGCCAACCCACAGTCAGACCCTGGGCTGGGGCGCCGTCGGGGGGCCTCTCGGTCCTTGGTCCTCGGGGCGCTGCGGGAACGCGAGGCGGCAGGAGAGGGGAGCCGAGGTGACGGGGAGGCACGTGGGTCCCTCCCAGAGCCAGGTGTCCGGCCGCAGGCGCCCGTG